TAGTATGAATATCTGGTCTGTGAAGCCACATCCGGGTCGGAAACTAAGCTGATTTTCTCTAGTCTGCTCTTCATGAGTTTTAGTTAAGCGTCGAAGTATTGTTGAAGCTAATATTTTAGACACTATATTAGTCAAACTGATTCCTCTGTGATTGTCACAAGAGGACTTTTGTCCTTTCTTATATACTGGCACAATCAGTGATTGAGATTAGCAGGTGGGATTATATATTTATATTTATATTTTAACTACAATTATTTCTGTGGTTAAGTCACTTAAGCTTCGAACATATAGTTTCAGGTTCAAATCCTACCCTATCTTTGGTTTGGGGAACCAGGTAGTGTTACTTGTTCTCACAAAAATACATATCTCCAAGATGAGTGAACAAGCCTGTCATTTGTATGTGTGTTAACATCTAGTAAGTAGAAGACGCAATCAGTTCATACTCTCGTACGTTGGGCGTGAATGCGGACCACCAGTGTAATGCCCGTTCTAAAAACTTTAATATGACCATTATAACAGGCCAGCAAAAAAGCCATTTGTTGCAAACATGCACCATTTTACAAACAAAGTTATAAAAAGAAAACACTTTTGTGGCGTATATTTGATATGAGATAGTTGTAGTGCGTAAGTGAAAATTCTTGCATCAGCTTTTTCAATTGTTATAAATATAATATAATGGCGTAGCACAGTTTCAGAAGTAATCGCTATCTATTGTGAATTAAGCATCAAAATCGTATAATTAACTTTTGTACAATACTTATAACCTTGTGCACAGGTATAAACTTAGTTACACAGTCAATATTTTTAAGTTTAAAGTGAATACATATGATTTGCAACTTCTGAATAGTTTTTGTATTGTCCAAGGCTTTTACACTTCTAATGACTTGTTGTCTGTCTGGATAGCAATGTTGCATGAATATATTATTGCAACAATACTATCATTGTCTGACAGAATTATTAAGTATTTACATAAACTAGATTATCATTTATTTCGGTTCAAACAGTATTCATATTTCCACTTGATAAGTAAAGACACTTAAACAGTTTGTCTAAATTAGTTTAAACTACAAATCTAACTACATTATTTCAGATATCTTATAAGCGGTTGAGTTCAAAGTGATAATTCTTTTCAGAATTTTTTTTATTAATTGAACAGGAGAAGGGAACATTTGATTACATTTCAATTCCAGTGCAACTTTTGATAGTTGTTTCTATATTTAATTAAATATCAGTGTAATTTTTCTGTATTATGTTGGGTTAGAGATAAATCTTAACCTTACTAACAGATCAGTGATAACCTCCATAAAATAACAATCAAATTCATCTTGTTTACTTTTCATAATAAATCTCACCTTTTACCAACTTGTAGCTCGTATTCTGAACAGCACCCATCTATACATACCGTTCACATAATCTGACATATATATATATATATATATATATATATATATATATATATATATATATATATATATACATGCTTACATTCACTCTGTGTTGATTTGTTCGTAGTCGTAAAATTTGTTCATCTGGTAGTTGTATCAGTGCTAATGATGTGTAATCAGTCTATGTGAAGTAGAAGCTATCGTGTTTTTAGTCTGGTTATAAAAGACCGAGTTTAAAATGTGTCATTGAGAGTGCTTCTCCTCAATGCTTGTGGAACGACCTCTTCAAGCTGAGGATCCTTGGAGGCACTGTGTTCGAACGTCGTTGTCCAAACGATTTCTGACACCCAGTGACAACACAATATTAATAATACTGAGGTTCAATATGGTTAGCGTCACTCTCATGAAATTTCGACTCCGGTAGCTTGAACAACATCGCAGCCTCTCTCAGTCCAGCCAGTATTTCTCGATGCTGGAACTGGGTGGAAAACGCGGAGAGGTGACCAGTTTCTGACATGACTCCGTATTATGCATGGAACGAAGCGGTGTAGAACTACTTCCTGTCGGTCTATTACGACTCCCCAGTTACAATTCAATCGCTTTAAACATGGTCAGATTAGAAGTTAGTGGTGATCCGGCTGTAGTTCTCTTTTACATTCTTCACAACAGTGAGAGGGACTACCTTATCTGAAATAAGTCTTTCTTGGTCGTATTTCTATTTGAACTGTATTTGCGACTACACACTATTCTTTTTCACTTTACTTTTTGTTCTTGTTTGTCCTTCCTTTCCCTTCCTTATTTTGCATCGCGCAAACTATTTTCAGTGCTCATTTGTATCAGATTTTATGTTAAACATGTTAGTAAAATCCTTATATTGACAATGTGGTTTGCATATTTTATTTTGACATAAAAGAAACACTTATCCTTAGAACTTTATCGGTACCGTATAAACAACTGGATTAATTTCAACTTATGTTGAAGTCCATAGCATCGGTCACCTTGTTCGGTCTATACATCTAGTTGAAATAATTTATTCATGCACCTGTCAGCTTTTTCCACCAATATGAAGCTGAAATTATTTGAACAGATACTAAATTTCGGAAGACAAAGTGCTTAGGTAGTTATAATTTGGTCTATCGACTTAAACGAAACTGAGTTCCAGCGACCATGTGGTTTTCTGTCTTCTATAATTAACTTTGTTTTTTTTGCCATTTTTCCTATCTTCATCCTATTTCGTCGAGTTTACTCACTTGAGTACTATATTGAACAATATCCTCATGATCTCAACTATTAAATTACTATGATATCCACAAAACCCCTTTCTGATAATATCCACAACGTTTATTGTGACACGAAAATTTATGAATAACTTTTTTTCATCCTAAAAAAGTCTTTGATGACCATACTAAAATCTTCGATTTCAGTTTGCTCTCGATTCGTAAATTCAGGTCGCATTGGTCGTACATGTCAATTTTACGCGTGGGTGGTACACATCTCGCTTTACGTAGCTATTACTGCCTGTCTCGTACTCACCTCAGGCAAATTTAAACCAATCATGTTTCGTATTGTTATCGGTCACATGGTTGTCATAGTGACAAATCGGTGACTATTTGGGAAACTGCCATGGGAATGCTGTAACAAAGTGTCGTCATAGACAGGCATGAGCATTGCAAATCAATATAACCCTAGTCTTTGTGGCTGTTTCTCTCACTAACTAGTTGCATATGACTAGAAAGCATATTATTTATTTCATGCAGTCGGCAAAGTACCTTCGTAAAATCTGTTGTAACTTGTCCATACATTTGCAACCTAAGCCTATACAAATTGATTGTTTTAGGGAATATGTAACTTGAAAACATTACTCATTTGTGCTGATGGTGTCAAACATTCGACATACGACACAGAAAATATAATCCAGGCTATCCTTAAAAAAAAATTGAAATCGTTGTGAGTAAACAGAAGATATTTAGTACATATCTGATTCTTTATTTATTTAAACACATAAATATTGGTACAAAGGGGCACCAAATACATATATGCCACATAAGTCACTTGATTTATGTGAGCGCTGTGGTACTGCCCGAACGCCCAGACATAAGCAGGTGGTTTTCTTAGGGGGTCACACCCGGAGCCTATGACCTAAAGGTTTGATCCACAAGGCAGTGGAGCAACGTCAGGTGATTCAGTCACATGATAATCGGTGACCAACAATTAGTTAATACGCCATTTGTTCCTTCAGGATCCTGGAGCCCATGTGCACCATTGGTTTGGAATCGGGGTTTTACAACTCTCCTAGTTGGACCCTCCACATCCACCAACACGGTTAAAGCGCCGGACATTCGCTTTTCGTTCTCTCGATTTCGTAAACAACAGTAATGCCGTGAGAAGGCAGTGAGTAGGACTTCCCTGGCAGTGGTTGTATGCACGTGTTCATGTTAGAGCATTTCGAGAGGGAGCGCTGACTCTCCCCACTCTGGGCCGTATCAGGGAATTCGGGGGCATCTGAATTATACGAATCAATTACCAGTAACTAAACGTATCTGTTTAAGTTTACAGATAAAACTCATGACTGACCCAATTAAAGGCCTTCTAAACGTTGTGATATATAATATTTGCCTTACCTTTACAATCGCGAATGTTGGTCGAGGTAACCAACACTCATTAGATTCGTAATACAAGAGTGACCCTTCTTGATATCCCTTCATTGTTGGTAAGAAGAATGTCTAGATGTCCAAAACAAGTTAAAAGCTAATGACTTTAAAAATTTGCACATAAGGTAAATGATATTGTTATCAGAAGTCTATCTTTTCCAGTGACTGAGAACGGGAATTTGTTTTTAACGACGATTCATTATCTAATACCAAAAGCCTTGTCAAAGTAATATTCTATCACTTTGGCACATTTTTTGTCTTTTCATTTAACAGCAAGAAATTATAAGTGGCGAAACAAATTTTATTGATAGAAATTGATAGTAATTAGTCTGTCTAGTGTCGTTCAAGTAAAAAAGTACATTAATAATTGCTTACAAATATTATGCTTCATGACTGATGCCGTAAATAGTTTCACCGGAGTAGTTAATGGGATATCAAGTTTCTTTATCTGAGTGAAAGATGGTTGCTAAGTTGATCCTTTTGAAATCCTGTGATCCATCATCTCTTACTAGTTCAGTTTTATAATTTTAGCTTTTCGTATTTAACACAGTTTTACGTAATTTGATAAACACTTTAGACCTACATTTTATATTTGTTCACATTCACTATCAAAACCAATGTGAATCAGTAAGGAAACTCATGTTTTCCGGTAACACATTTAGATACCTAGAGCTCAGTCGTATCTTCTACTTATCTGAATCACAGGAACATAAAGACGGCAAGAATATAAAATGGTCTATAGTTATTATATTGAGTACTAAACAACGACATTCGTTTGACTGAGTTGTAAGACCAAGAATCAAATCAGAGGGAGAGCTGTGACAGCTCAAAGTACAAAACTTCACCTGAGATACAAATCTCCATTTTAAAACTCATTCTTTGTTTCATAGGTTCTCCTGATCAGATTTTTATAAGTTCTTATATTTCTTATTGTTCTTTACACCATTTTGTTGGTTCCTTTTAGCATTTGTGGTCTACAGTTTTCTAAGTTTGTGTTATGAATATCTCGGTGGAGAAAGTTGCATTCTGTCGGAAATTCGTGGTCGTGAGTTACCGTAAGTTAATAATTGAGGGTTAAATGAATTTTGTTTTTATTAAACGGAATACACCCATTATGACATTAAATAAGAAAGAAAGATTAGTTCAGCGAAGAGTTCTCTTTTCGGCGAATTCATTTTCAAAGCTGTACAATCGCAAATATATATACTTATTTATACAGGGTGATAATAATACTGATAATAAACTTATGATATACATGGTGACGGTGAGGTTAAATAAACAAAGGTATTAGAAAAAATTTTTCTAAAAACAAGGAAAGTTTGATAGATAATGGCTTAGATATTCATCGGGTAAGAGTAGCTCAGCATGATAAAATAACATAAAATGTTGAAACAGAGATGAAATGTAATCGGAATGATCGTTGAAATAAAAACAAACCGGTTGGGGGTACAAGATTTGAAGGGAAGATGGAAGGTGAAGCAGGTGGCTGTAAAAGAACAAGAGTAATGAGAAAGAGAAAAAAAATTTTAATACATTAAGACCACGGTAAAAGAAGAGGTTGTACCAGTCTCTTTTGTACACATAATTCCGGTTTTTCAAAATGTATGGCTATTGCCTCGGCAATGCAAAGGAGATGTAGTCTAATTGTCTTAGGAAGGTTTCTACTTACCTTGTAGATGACTTTGAACGCAGAGTCTGTCTTGATTGAGTGACCTGTGTTCACAAGGTGTTCGATTATAGAACTTCTTATTGAACCGCTGCTTCCTCTTCTTAGTCTACTAACAAAAGAACATAGAAATCAGATTAAACTACTTAGAAATAATAAAGACTTGATTATAACACGTCCAGATAAAGGTGCTGGTTTAGTGCTGCTAGATCGCAAGGATTATGTTGAAAAAATGGCAACGTTGTTATCAGATGACACCAAATTCTCAAAACCCAACAATGAGAAAAACAAGACTGAAATTATAGAAAAGCAACTAATTGACGTCCTTAAGAAAATGAAAAAAGAGCAGTTAATCAACGAACAGGTATTTGAGCACTTAAGACCAACAGCATCGATAATACCGCGATTATACGGTTTGCCAAAAATACACAAATCTGGCCTACCTCTTAGACCGATTCTCGATATGTCTGGATCCCCTTACCACCCTATAGCAAAGTGGTTGGCGAATCTCTTAGAACCCGTTAGAAAACTCATTTGTAAACATTCTGTACGCGATACTTTTGAATTTATCGAGCACATAAAAGAAGTGAATGTAAGTGGCAAAATTATGCTATCTCTGGATGTGGAATCATTATTCACTAATGTCCCACTTACAGAAACCATTAATTTTATCTGCAAGTACATAAACAATACTGAGATAAACATTGGGATACCTGAGGTTTATTTGAAGGAATGATTACTACGTTGTACTTGCAATGTACAGTTCACATTCAACGACGTAATTTATAGACAGAAGGATGGTATAGCAATGGGATCCCCACTTGGTCCATTACTGGCAGATTGCTTCATGGCCAGTTTAGAAAACAACCAACTTAAAAGAATTATAGAAAACCTCCACTTATATAAAAGGTATATGGATGATATCTTTATCATTTGTGATAACAAATGTAACTTAAGTGATCTCCTAAATACATTTAATAATTGTCACCCATCAATAAAATTCAGAATTGAAGTTGAAAGCAAACAAAATATTCACTTCCTTGATGTAGATATAACAAGAAAACAAGATGGTACTTTAAAAAGATCTATCTACAGGAAACCCATGTGGAATGGCCAACTATCAAATTTCCACAGTTGGGTTCCCATCAGCCGAAAAAGAAACTTAATAATCACTCTCGCCACAAGAATACGAAGAATCTGTAGCCCTGAGGTCGTAGAGGAAGAATTGAGTTTTTTAAAAGAGATACTTATCAAAAACGGATATCCTTCTATATTCATTGATAAGAACATGAAACCGAAAATGCCAAGACCACAAACCACTGCAGTAGAAAAGAAAATTTTATACATGAACATCGACTTCAAAGGCGATAGAGCCGCACATATCTTAAAGAGGAGAATTTCAGATTCTTTAAAAAGAACATTTTTCGCAGCAACATTGCGAATATTATTCTCCAGCCGATCACTGTTCACCAATAATCTGAAAGATAAATTATCGCATCTGACCAATTCAATGTGCATTTACCAATTTACCTGCTCTTGTGGAGCTAGGTATATAGGTCGTTCGATGCGTACTTTATCCAAAAGAATTCAAGAACATTGTCCGGCGTGGCTAAGAAGAGGAGGCAGCGGTTCAATAAGAAGTTCTATAATCGAACACCTTGTGAACACAGGTCACTCAATCAAGACAGACTCTGCGTTCAAAGTCATCTACAAGGTAAGTAGAAACCTTCCTAAGACAATTAGACTACATCTCCTTTGCATTGCCGAGGCAATAGCCATACATTTTGAAAAACCGGAATTATGTGTACAAAAGAGACTGGTACAACCTCTTCTTTTACCGTGGTCTTAATGTATTAAAATTTTTTTTTCTCTTTCTCATTACTCTTGTTCTTTTACAGCCACCTGCTTCACCTTCCATCTTCCCTTCAAATCTTGTACCCCCAACCGGTTTGTTTTTATTTCAACGATCATTCCGATTACATTTCATCTCTGTTTCAACATTTTATGTTATTTTATCATGCTGAGCTACTCTTACCCGATGAATATCTAAGCCATTATCTATCAAACTTTCCTTGTTTTTAGAAAAATTTTTTCTAATACCTTTGTTTATTTAACCTCACCGTCACCATGTATATCATAAGTTTATTATCAGTATTATTATCACCCTGTATAAATAAGTATATATATTTGCGATTGTACAGCTTTGAAAATGAATTCGCCGAAAAGAGAACTCTTCGCTGAACTAATCTTTCTTTCTTAATTTTGTTTTTATCCTGTAGTTATAGTTCAGGTCATTGTGCTTCAATTATTGCTTAGCTGAAAGAGCTGAGTTTTCTGACAACCTCTGAGGTACTTTGCACCGATTATGCGAATTAAGTATCTGCTGTTTAGTTCACTTTAATAGATTAACCGAACATTCTGATTTTTGTATCTGCGTGTGCTTGGTTCCTATCAACTCATGTCTTCTGTTGTTTATTTCTACCTTCATCATTTCACTCTATATCAGGAATCGCAACTTTGTAAATATAGATTTTTTTCTAGCAAATATGTTTTGTGCAAATGTTCACGTCATTGTCTGAGTGCTTATTCCAAAGTAGGGGGTCGAGGTTTGAATGTGAAATCCAGTGGTTGAAAGTTGACTATTTCAATCACTAGGCCACCTTGTCACGTTTCAGTGGGATAATTTTCGCCCTGAATTCTCTGGTTTAAATGTTATTCAGTTGTGAAGAATTCATAGGAATGACAGCATTTTATCTTGTGAATAACTAGTGGTGTTTATTCCAATATTAATATTTTTGTGTTTTAGTTAAGAAACAAGAATATGCGAAGGTTTATAATCGGTTGTTTCGAAATCCATCCCTTATTGGTTTAAAAAAAAAATCAATTTAGAACCTTTTCACTACTACCTAATTCAGTTTAGCCAAGTCGGGAAGTATCGCTAATTCTAACACAAAACGATTAGTTAAAGACTCATCGAAACCCTAGAACCATGATTTAGTAAATGTTAATATTATTATGTAAGGTACACAACTATGGTTGAAAATTTGTTCAGGGAAGCTTTGATTCTGACGTCGTTTTCGTTGATATTTGATTGGAAACAAAGTAATAATTCTAGAAAGCAAATATTACTTCTGTTTCATCCATTTACGCTTGGTGACGTAGACCCGTCCCTTTTTTCGTTTTATATGAAGAAAAGTCATGATGTATCACAAGATGGTGAAAAAAAAAACAAATATTGGTCAGGCTAATAAACTTGTTCACTTGATATTGTTTTACTTGAATCTTCCCATTGATGTTTTAGGACTGAAATTGATCAGTCTCTTATTGGCATATGTGCATACTGTGCGTATGCCTCGATATTGTCTTAATTTACAAGCATTATAAGCAAAGATGGATAACGGCTAACAGTGGAATCTAGGACGCGCGTTTCGTTCTGTTTGGGACTCGTCAGCTGGATGTACCTGCATCTCAGAGTTGATGTTCACTCTGGGACTCGAACTCAGTACCGTTCGCTTCAAACGCCATCGCGTTATCCACTTAGCTACTGAGTCCTGATAGCCACTTGCTTGTGCAATAAACTGGTTGTTTATAAATTTTGTCTAAAGACATTGATTATCAAACTAACGTGTCACGAGGCATGAACTTCCTGATTGAGACACACCTAATAACCATGATCAGTGGTCGAAAACTTTGGTGGTGACGTGACTCGGAGTCGATTGTGGAGACATAAATGTTCTCGTTCCTTATCTTACGTTAAATATTCAGTTTTAATTAGATGTTGGTTGGAGGTAGTCAACAGGAAACCCTGGACCCGGGTTTCGTGCTACTTGGCACTCGTCAGCAAGGTGTACCTGTAATCTTGAGGGAACTGGTGCTCCCTGGCGGATTTGATCTCGTGTCACCCAGCTTCACAGTCAGAGACGTTACCACTGAGCTATCCGAGCCGTGACTAACCTCCTGTAGGACTGAGATGTAATCACAATTGATTGATCACTGGGTGGTGATCAATCTCATGCTTGTCTAGTCCTTATTAGTGCAGATCGAATGCTATCGGGTCCAGGGTTTTCTGTTGACTACCTCCAACCAACATCTAATCTCAATACATAGTGCCCGCAGTATCGAGTCACCTAGACTGGTGGCCACATTGCAACATGATCGATAGCATTCGATCTGCACTAATAAGGACTAGACAAGCATGAGATTGATCACCACCCAGTGATCAATCAATTGTGATTCAGTTTTAATATTATTCCATGCTTTGATTAATCAATCCCATCTGTTCTTTTCAAACTATATTCACCAGTTTTAGTTTGTCTTTCACAAACAGACGTTAATGTTTCTTTTACTTCTCTGGTATACACCTTGTTACTTTTCTCTAAATGTCTTGATGTGAAGTGTTACAACGTTGGTCAATTCACATTTATGTCACTTCAGACGACGGTATTTATGTATGAGTAACTTATGAATGCTTTATTTCGCATTCGACTTGTTAAATGCTTGTTAATAGATCGAAACGATAGTCAGTAACACAACACCAGGACAAGCTAAGCTATTCCACTGCGCTCCAGCCCTTCTAACTACGGGGAGAAGACCAGATTCAGCTAGGGGAAAAGTATGTATTCTATAAGCAGTCGGAAGTACGAATGAAAAAGCACACAACTTATGCATATATATACAGTACTAAAAAGAGGGAACGAACCAATGATATTTAAGGTCCTTCCAAGTGGGAAATACAAACTGAAGGTAAAAGTGTGCGCTTTTGGCGCGAAAATGAGAAATTCAAATTTTAAAAATCAAGTTACAAAGATATGACGTTTACCAAGTGATTTCTAGGGATCTAGCATCCAGAACAATTACTGAGTTAGGCTTTTATCATTCTCTTTCATCAAGGAGTGCCTGGAACATATGTTCCTCAAATACTTTCACATTCGACTTCTTAAACTTTCATAATTATTGACTCAATATATGTGAAGTGCGCCTGATGATATATTTGGTTACCATCAGTATCATTGAATTATTTATGAAATATATATATCTGTTTATCTTATTTGTGCGAAACTAGTAACCAAACTTAGTTAAGACAACTTTTTCCCTGTCACTAATTCTTTCACACATTTTTTTAGGCGATCATGGGGATTTTGTACTTGTTGCTTTTATAATCAAACGTATACAATTGAGTTTCTGCGATTTTGCAAACAGGTATGGTTTTTAATAAATTTAACTTTTGGATTCATTATAACCTCATACGTCTTTTTGAGAGTGTAAAATAGGGATAGGGGGAAATGAAAGTTGACAGAACAACAGTATTAAATAGAGGGAATATAATAACTTGAATAACAATTTATTATTTTTCTAGCCTTATCACACTCAAACTTTTTCATACACTGGTTTATATTAAATCTATACGTATACGTTGATCAAGGGAAAACTGAGAAGGCAAGGAGTGGTGTGTTGAGTTTTCGCTTGTTTTCTAGCTGATACCTAATTAAATAATCACCCAATTATCAATAATGACCGACATTGGAAGGTGGGTTTTTCAAAGGTTAGTAGCCGATCCTTCACCTTTCAATAAATAACGACGTCTGAAGTGGCACAATTGTGAATTGACCAACGTTGTAACACTTCACATCAAGACATTTAGAGAAAAGTAACAAGATGTATACCAGAGAAGTAAAAGAAACATTAACGTCTGTTTGTGAAAGACAAACTAAAACTGGTGAATATAGTTTGAAAAGAACAGATGGGATTGATTAATCAAAGTATGGAATAATATTAAAACTGAATATTTAACGTAAAATAAGGAACTAGGAGTTGAACTCCAATTAATGGAGAGAGCGTCGGCTTGACCAATAGTATTTGTCGACTGATACTTGATACTGGAATCATAGCTCAGGAGCATTGTTGCATAGCGCTGTAATCTACTAGCCGTATAGACAGGGATTCCTTTCTTAGAACCAAAGATTGCAATCAATGGTTTGTGATCTGTCAGTAGAGTAAACGTACGACCATAGAGTATTTTATGAAATCTTTTGACAGAAGCTTTGAGCTAAACATTGATTTGACTCGATCGATAGATGCTTGACATTCTGCCAAGGTTTATCTTTTGATAGTAATTCATTCAGGGGACCTCTCAGTCGATGTATTTCAGGCAAGAATGTGCTGTATTAACTGATTAACCCCAAGAAGGATCTTAATGAAGGGACATCAGTTGGTGCAGGCATCCTCTGAATGGCTTCGATGTTGGCAGGGTCTGGTCGGCGACCGTTTTTTATCTAAGATGAAACTGTAATTCACCAACCAGTTTTAGCACACCACCTGATGTGTTTTTAGCCGTTTGCTTAGATGGCTGCATTGGCGGTTTACCCGGTAAGCTATAGGTTTCTCTAGACACTAAGGTGATATATGATGCCGTGTCAATTTGAAGACGAGCTGATATCTGGATGGTAATATACTTTCTCCGAATGTCATAGTTTGTTCGAAAGGCAGCTATCAGAGATAGATATTTAGACTCGGCTGATTTCATATGTCGAGGACGTTTATGCTTCTTGGGTTGAGGCGTACGCTTCGGTGGACGATGACCTTCTTTATGTCCACGTTTGTTGCACACTTGACATTTATGTTTCTTAAGTGGACAGATTCATACATAATGCCAATCATCACATAACCAGCATGCAGTCGTTGGCTCGTTACGAGTTGTTATCGGCTTCTGGACTTTTAACCTAGTAATAGCATTGACACTACTGCAGGTTAAATCAGGATTAACCTGTTCAATTAACTCGTCGTGTCCGATGTTTTGTAGCCGCTTATATTCATCTGTCAATGTCCTGAGTTTGACGTCTGGGTCTTGATGCAGTCGAGTCAAAAGTCTAGTCCTGATCTCAGCATCTTGTGGTGACTGAAGAGCTTTGATGAATATTAAACATTTAAATTGGTCTTCCATCAACGAGCGTAACTTGAACCGTTCGCACTCTCTGTTGATGACGTCTGATAAAGCAGACTTCGCTTCTCACCAAATTTAGATACCGATACCGAATACTAAACAATGAGGATGATTCACAGAATATCTCTGATAGTTGTGTTACCGTCTCCTCGAAACTGAGCTCTCGAGGTAACTTTGGCAATATATGGTCAGCATAACGTGCATGTTCATCGCTTCCCAACGTATGTACCAACAATCGAGTCTTCCACGCGTCGTCTTGTTTACAGGATTCTATTCTAAATGTATCTTTCCAACGTTTGAACCACGTGAGAAAAGTATTTCCACTTTCGGGATCATATATGAATTCTGGGATGCTGCTAGCAACTGCATCACAAGACGTACTTGAAATATCATGTGAACTCGAGCAGTGGATATTGAGCTGTTGAGTCAGTCTCCAACAACCACATTTGTGCATCAAGTTCTGTTTGCTGTTGTTGTAGTATTCGGTTGTGCTGGTCATCTGATATGGGCATCTTGAATTTGTTTTTCTTCTTTCTTATCACAACTGTTATAATTCTCTCTTATTGCATAGTATTCTCGGATACCAATTCACTCGACATGTCACTAAATCAGAACACGATTGAACAGGAATGAGATTATATTCCAAGCAACAAGGTTAGATGGAAGTAAGAAGTACAATAAGAAAAACGTTAGTATATTTGTAGTTTTTACACGAGAAGATTCTAGTGTTCTCCAAGCCTCGACTAGCGCTGATTGGATAGAAATCAGCCAATCGGCGCGCACCAAAGCAATCGTGCATTGAGCATGCTTTAATCCAATCTATGTCCCTCTAACACCCGGCTCCCAGAACCGAAACAGTTGAAGCAAGGTTCGAACCTGTCACTCACTGGTTGAAAGTTTATTTATTTGATCAGTGTGTCACTTCTCAACTCTTAAACTATGGTAAACATTTCGACGATTTCTTATTTCTGATGTCTTTCCAGTTGAAATGGAAACTACCTATTCTAGAAATCATTCTTCTATGTGGAGTTATGTAAATTAAGAACGGTTTATTTAACAATTTAGGATCTCTAATTAATACATTTTATGCTATCGATTTTCATAAATTTGTTGAATTCAGAAAACTAGTGTAAGGCTTTGCAATTTAAGAAATCTACTCAACTATACGTTTATTTAATTCCTAAATTTCGTACTAAAACCACTATAATTTTCTGTTGGTGGTAAATAATTTTAGCATATTCTGAACAAATATGACTTAATTCTTGTTAATTGTCATCAATATTCCACTGGTTGAACGAATTGCTTAATAAGCATTTCACTGATGTTGTTTATTTTACGTTGTACAGTAAATCATACTTTGTTCCATTTTCACATATTGTAAACTTTTCTGATAAGTATTGAAATGAAATTAACATGTATTTTTGCGGATAAACAGGACTTTTGGATCCTGAGTTTTTAATTATTCATTTTTATTTATTTCATTAGGCAACTTTACAGTTTTGTGTGATTAAACCGTTGGCATCGATTGTAACTATTATTCTACAAGCTGTTGGCGTATATAAACATGGAATTTTCAGGTAATTCAATCATTAATAACTGTAACGGTTACATAATGTGGGGACAGTTTCCACATGCACGGTATTAGTGGTTTATTCATTTTGTGGCTGTAGAAATTATCGGCACTGACTTAGTTGTCTTATGGTGATAGAAATTAAACTCAGTTCGACTTCATGCGTTGTAATAAAACCGTGATAAAACCTAATTTCAAATTAGAGATGTAAACAGTTGTAAGGAATCTAGGTTAGGTTTGTCATCTGGGGAGAGATGTAACGATATAAACGATCTCAAGTCACTGACTGGTCGAAAGTTGAATGCTACCACCGAATAATTATACTGAAACAGTCTTTGTGAGACGTAAACCATTTAAACTGACCTTGGAAGTTCTCATATTCCTGCAGATCAGACAACGGAACGGGTTGGTTATGTCTTTAGAAAGTCTTAACATTGATGTCTGTTGTCTATCTGAGACTTGTATTCAAGACTAATGAAGTACCACGGATTCCCTCTCCACCGGTCACTTTGAAAAGCTTGTTTCATGTGCATTTATCCGAGGATCCTGTGGCAGCTTCGTTTGGTTTAGCTGGCGTTGGTGTCATACTAAGCGCTAGAGCTGAGGCAGCCCTGATCGATTGGATCCCCACTAATAGTCGGTTATGTGCTGTTAGATTAGAAAGTTCCATCAAAGTAAGAAGAAATCGGTGTGAGAAACGATGTTTTTTAGTTATAGATGAGCAATCGTTGTAATTGCATAACGTCATGAAAATGGCGAGTAAAGTCGCTTGCGACTTCGCGAAGCATCCTACTTATATGTACTGGGTATCTTCAGGCTCCTTACAACTCATTGAAGCCCGTCGGCCTACTCCTGCCAACCTCAAGTTTGACAATAAACGTATATAAATTGTATAAAACGTGCGTAAGGACCGGAAACCTTAATACTTCCAGTGTGCTGATGCTATGACTTTAAATTGCTGTCGATTTTTACCCTGTGCTAATTGTTGTGTCCTTGACTGGAAAATTAGAGAGCAGCGTACTTATCGATCGATTACAGTGACACGTAAACACGAACGGACGGCCTAGAGTCTCGACTGGTCTCGCTTCCCTGTCTAGCCCAGTTAGTTGAGTCCAGAACACAAGCCACAGCCTCGGAGATATGAATCATTATATTTCAAACATACTTTGTTTATATACCAATCAAGCATACCACATCGTACCATAAAATAGAAAACAACATTTTGTACAATATTCAACAAGTGAACAGATACCGACCAATAGAAAATGTCCATTTAAAGTCCAAGGACATCATTGGACTTAACATCATAATTATTGGTCTATTCCTCCGCATCCACAACAGCCGACGAGATGAAAGCAGTAGCTGCACCTGGTGACTACCAGAAGCTCTTTTAACTCATCCGAGTCACTAGCAGTAAGAAATCTGGTGTGAGTAAAGTAATCTGTAAACCCGAAGGCATGTCTTTATGACACCTACGAACGCCTTGGACGGTGGGCAGAATTTTTCAAGTAACAGTTCAGCTGATCAGCTACCCCGGCAACATCAGTCAAACTGTATTCTCCTCCATGGTCTGTGACGACTGATCCACCTAACGAAGCGGAAGTTCGCAAAGAACTCCAGCTCTTGGAGTGCTACAAATTAGCGGTCCCAGATGACTTACCTCCGGCTCTTTCTAAAGATAATGGTGACTTTATGGTTACGTAAGTGACTGAGCTGTTTGCAAAGGTTTGGTAATTAGTGTTCCAACGTAATGGGATGAGTCTATAGTTTTTCTTATCTTTGGAAAGGGTTCACGTCGTTTCTGTAACAACTATCGGGGGATAATTCTACTTCCGATTGCGTCCAAGCTATTGGCTTCCGTCATACTTCATAGGTTGTTCAAAACCTGAGAGAGATTGACTCGCAAGGAGCAGGCTGGTTTTCGTTCTGATCGAGTATGTATTGATCATATCTTCACCCTTCGCCAAATGTTGTAACACTGTCATACTTATCACAGGCCGACAGTCGTAGTATTGACATCAGGACTGTTCTCTGGCATGGTCTATTGAAAAAGTGTGCGCCTGAACAGTTTACTAACACGTCGAAGGCCCTATATGCAAATACCTCAGGCAGAGTGAGGGCATACAACCACCACCTCCACTGTTTCATTCAAGCTGTGAATTCAGTAAGGGTTGCCCTACCTCACCATTCCTCTTCAACTTTGCCATCGATGATGTTCTGGAAGCAGCTCTGGTGGATGTAGAAAATGGTAGTGTAGATTTGTTTCCTGGAGAAGGACTTTTCGACCTTGAGTATGCGGATGATATTGTCTTACTTTGCGATGATACCCAAGCCATTCAATCAACGCTTAATCAGTTGGCAATTAGTGTCCGTAGGTATGGTATCTGCTTCGCACCCTGATCCTCATGCTAATCTGGCACATCTTTGGCACCTTTGTTGTGTTGTGGTGTGCTACTTATAGTGACATAAGTTGTATATGATGTTAGTTGTGAACAAAAGGTCTGGCAGCAGAGAGACAAGAGGATCGAACAGTAAAGAATGAAAACAAAATGCAATTTCGATGAAAATACAAGAACAATGAAATCTGAGTCATTTTGAGACAATTGGTGGACATTTTGCAAATTAAGCATTTACTTTATGATTGTTAGATTTTATTATGTGTTAAATACATTCGGTTGCCCCCACTGGTGTTCTTGTTCACTACAGTGTTAGTCTGGCTGTAAAGGTCGGATTTACAGCATGTCGGTCAGAGCAGTTTTTCTCTATACTTGTGAGACCTGACCTCTCCGAGTTGAGGATGTTAGACGACTCTCTGTGCTTGATCGTCGTTGTCTTCGAAGGATTGCCGTCATCCAGTGGTAACAACATGTTAGTAATGCAGAGGTCCGGCATCGTGTGTTCGGGCACAGTAACGGTAGTTTAATTAGTTTCACTATCCTAGAATATCGGCTTCGAGGATTGGAGATGTACGAATTTTTTCCCAGAGAATTTCAAGTCGTGCATTATTTGCCGACTCTGGGACTGGTTGGAGAAAGCGGAGAGGTGGTCAGTGTATGACATGGTGTCGTGGTATGAAAGAAAGTTGTTCATGATTGATTTTTTCTGGTCCTGCACGACTCCTTGTTTGGGATCCTAGAGATGATGCAATAGGGATTTGAGACGTTATCAGATATGGCTCAGAATATAAGCCAATGGCTATTCTGCTGGAACTTTCTTTTACTTTCTTCATAAAAAGTGATCATAACTTCGTTTATTATACGCACTTTACATCTCTTCACACCCTCATTGTTATTGTGTAGGGCATATATATTCGATTCTTCCTTCTACCAATTTTAAAGTGTTCAAATAAATCTGGGTGTCTGGACTATAAAGTAATATTTATTTCTTATTGCATACTGATAACCAGTAAGGGCTTAATCTCAATGTTAAGTTTGTGTCACTTTCCAGTTTACGTGGAGCATTGGAAGAACTTGTGTTCACTCAAAAAAATTTTCGAAGCTAGAGTAGAAGTTGCTATTTGTCCCATGGCTGATGTTTTTTAGGTTTTGCCTCCGAGTTCTTTCTGTCAAACAGATAATTCTTGTTCTATTTTAGGAGTTTTTAATCCTACACATTTGGTAACTCATATCAAAAATTGTACCACAGTTTTGAACTTTGGTGGAACACCATCAATTCGAGACAGCACGATTTGTAAATTAGTTTCATTTGTTTCCCTTTTATTGTTATCTACCTATCCTTTCATGATTATTATCTTACTAAACATTTTTTGGAATAAACAAAAGCGGAGGTTTTTTGGGTCTTAATAAAATCTAAGATGTCGCTTACTTTTTTGTGGATGAGTTTGATGTCAAAAGAAGTGCTTCGATATGTATATATAATATGTAACATGCAGTTTATGTGTACAAACTCAGTTAAATCATCCTTGATAACAATAGACTTTCACTGTTTATCTCATTGTTTGAAATATCAAAATAGTTGTTACAATAAGCTATTATGATTATCACACCACACTGCAATAGTTCAAGTTTTTAAGAATAATATTTGCCAATTTCTTCTTTAGCTCTACAAATGGCTACTTATATGTGACAGTAGTATATAATGGATCTGCATTTGTGGCACTTTATGCTTTACTTTTATTCTACTTGGCTACTCGAAGCATCCTACAACCATTTGATCCTGCAATCAAATTTGCTGTAGTTAAATCCGTTGTATTCTTATGCTTTTGGCAAGGTTTGTTGAGAAATTATTTTTTTCTGTCTCCATAATATTGCTAATTTATGCTTCCTCCTTATTGTCAGTGCTGAATTTAGTTTACGTTGTAGAGTGTAAGTTGTTTTACAGTTCTCTTATTTTGTTTTATGTATAGATTTGTTTACATCACCGAATAATCACTTGTTGGATGATTCTTCATGTTTCTAATCTGATTTTGATTTAATTTGTTTTTAAGATACTCTGTTGTTGAAATTAAGACTAGTGCAACATGGCACACTGAGCTGCCTTGTCTGAGCTTCTTCAGGGAAATTATCAAAAATCGAAATTATTGAGAACACAAATAGATTTACAAAACGAGTTTGTACTAAATCAATTATTCAGTCATTTTTATGATGTTGAACCTGAATTATATTAAAGTATGGATATGAATGTGTCATTATTGTGAAATATTGTCTAATCGTCAAGTTACAAAGAGCTTACAGATTTGTGCCGTACAACATAGTTTCAGTTTAATTACCAAATGTAAGCTAGCAAAATAAAGTTTGGTGAGATTACCCATATCATAACTTATGCAGAAATAATAATGCAATTCCTTGAAGCTACAGTTCAACCAAAAATCGAACTGAAAATGTGGATACCTAATAATAGCAAAAATGATCATTATAATACATTATTATTATCCTCTGTTGTAACGTGTGACTGCAGATTCGAGTGAAGCGTATATTATCGAGTGATTACAGTAAAACGGAAAACACGTAAGAAAGGCTTAGGGTTCTGACTGGCCCTTGCTTCCCTGTCTAGCCCAGCCATTTGAGTCCAGAACGCAAGTCTTAGCCTCTGAGATATGAATCACTATATTTCAGACATACTCTATTTATATACCAATCAGCCAGACCACATCGTACCATAAAATAGAAAACAACATTTGTACAATATTTAACAAGTGAAATAAATATCGACCAATAGGGAGTGTACATTTAAAGTCCGAGGCCACCATTAGACTTAACATGATAATTATTGGTATATTTTTCTGCACATCCTAACAGCCTCAAAATATAAGATCTCGAGGATGAAAATATTATGATCGACGACATTGAATACATCAGATTTTACAAACGAAGGAAAACACGTACGAACGAACAACATTTTTTCAAATAAATCTTCATGAGCCTATATATTTGAGTAATATTTATATTACTTACTTACCTACGCCTGTTACTCCTAATGGAGCATAGGCCGCTGACCAGCATTCTCCAACCCACTCTGTCCTGGGCCTTCTTTTCTAGTTCCATCCAATTCTTGTTCATTCTTCTCATGTCTATCTCCATTTTTCGGCGTAATGTGTTGTTTGGTCTTCCTCTTTTCCTTCGGCCTTGAGGATTCCATGTGAGGGCTTGTCTTGTGACACAGTTGGGTGCTTTCCTCAATGTGTGTCCTATCCACTTCCAATGCTTCTTCCTGATTTCTTCCTCCGCTGAAATCTGGTTTGTTCTCTCCCACAGTACGTTGTTGCTAATAGTGTCCGGCCAACGGATCCGAAGTAATTTGCGTAGACAATTGTTAGTAAACACATGTATTTTCTGGATGATGGTTTTTGTAGTTCTCCAAGTTTCCCTCCCATACAGTAGAACTGTCTTGACATTTGTATTGAAAATCTTGACCTTGGTGTTGGTTGACAGTTGCTTTGCGTTCCAGATGTTATTGAATTGTAGATATGCTACTCTTGCTTTGCCAATTCGTGCCTTCATATCTGCATCAGATCTACCGTTGTCATCAATGATGCTGCCCAAATGTGTGAAGGTTTTTACATCTTCCAAATCTTCTCCGTCAATTGTGATTGGATTGTTGCATACTGTGTTGTATCGGAGAATCTTGCTTTTCCCTTTGTGTATATTGAGACCTACTGCTGCTGAGGCTGCTGCCACACTGGTCGTCTTCTGCATTTGTCGTTGCGTGTGCGATAGAAGGGCCAGATCATCTGCGAAGTCTGGATCGTCCGACTGCATCCTAGATGTCCACTGTATCCCGTGCTTCCCTTCAGACGTTGACGTCTTCATGATCCAATCGATCACCAGGAGAAAGAGAAAGGGTGAGAGTAGGCAACCTTGCCTGACACCGGTCTTTATTTCGAACGACTTTGTCAACTGTTCTCCATGCACGATTTTGCAGTGTAATCCATCATATGAGTTCTGTATGATATTGACTATCTTCTGAGGCACGCCGCAGTGTCGAAGAAGCTTCCATAGTGTTGTTCTGTCCACGCTATCAAATGCTTTTTCGTAGTCAATGAAGTTGATGTAGAGTGATGAATTCCATTCAATTGATTGTTCCACAATGATCCGCAGAGCTGCGGTTTGGTCTGTACACGATCTATCCTTACGGAATCCTGCCTGTTGGTTCCGAAGTTGGGCGTCTACGCAGTCCTTCATCCTGCTTAACAATACCCTGTTGAAGACTTTTCCCGGTATTGAGAGAAGAGTGATGCCCCTGTAGTTATCACAGTTGCTGAGATCGCCTTTCTTCGGTATTTTGATCAGAAGTCCTTCTTTCCAGTCTGTTGGTACTTGTTCCTCATCCCAAATCTTATTGAAGAGAATGTGGAGTATCCTTGCAGTTGCCGCTACGTCTGCTTTTAATGCCTCTGCTGGAATGTTTTCTGGTCCTGCTGCTTTACCGCTCTTGATTTGCCATCCTTATCTCTTCAATTGTTGGTAGGCCAACATCGATTGGGAGGTCCATGGGTGCTGCTTCGATGTTGGGTGGGTTCAGTAGAGCTGGTCGATTCAAGAGTTCTTTGAGGTGTTCTACCCACCTGTTTCGTTGTTCTTCAATATTGGTGATTACCTCGCCTTCCTTGCTTTTCACTGGTCGTCCTGGTTTGCCGCGTTTTCCAGAGAGTTTCTTTGTTATGTCATACAGTTGTCTCATGTTTCCTTCTCTTGCAGCCTTTTCCGCCGTCGTTGCTAAATCTTCTACATATTTACGTTTGTCGGTTGTGATGCTCCTCTTCACTTGCTTGTTTACTTCTGTGTATTCAGCTTGTGCCTTGGCTTTTTGAAGGCACACAGATTTGCAAATCTTTCACCAATTTCGTTCCTTTCTCCCAGTCCGTTTCGTCCCATGATGTCTTCACATCCAGTGTTGTCCGTTCCAACCTTGGCATTGAAATCTCCCATCAGAATGGTTAGGTCCTTTGTTGGGCACTTATCGATGATTGATTGCAGCCTGTTGTAGAATTGATCATTAGCGTCTTCATTGTAGTCGTTGGTAGGCACATAGCATTGGATGACGTCCATTGAAATGCCCTCTTTCTTTGTTTTGAAGGAGGCTTTGATGATCCTTGGTCCATGAGATTCCCATCCTATAAGCGCATTTTGCGCTTGTTTGGACAGCATCAGTGCGACTCCTTGTGTATATGGGGCATTTTCTTCTTCATGGTCGGAGTATAACAGGAGCTCTCCTGAAGTTAGTCGTTGTTGTCCAACTTGCGTCTAATGTGTTTCACTGATCCCAAGTACCTCCAGGTTGTATCTCCTCATTCCTGTAGCAATTTGGAAGACTCTCCCGGTCTCCCACATTGTACGAACATTCCATGTACCTAAATAAATGGTTGCTCTGGTTGTCAGAAGGGGCATCTGCTTCGTGACTTCCGAAGGAATTCGGTTTTCATCATGAGGCGTCATAGTTCTTCTAAATGAAGACCTTCTGACTCAAGGGGCAGAGTTCAAAAGGTTTGAATAATTTTCTCTGGTTAGCGTTTTTTTTAGCGAGTTAGTTTTCTACGGGATGGAGTCACTAACCCCATGCCCAACCCTCCTCCTTTATCCGGGCTTGGGACCGGCAGTAGCCCCCGGAGGGACTCCAGGCGGAGTTAATATTTATATTGCTCATGTGAAAGTCTTTCAATCAATCATTTGCATTTTTTAGTCACTGATGTTTATGGAATAGACTACATAGTTTACCAGTGATAATTAACCATTAATGGTGAAATGAAAACTGATGTACCAGTAGTGTTAAGAACAGTAATATTTTCAACAAATAATTTAACATTGGAAGCAGGTCAACATTCATAAAAATAAACATATTAAATATATTAATTGTCAAAAATTGCAAAATAAGATTTATGTGTGTACATATTTATGGGAATAATTCTATATAAAGAAGAAATGAAATATTGAAGTGGATAAAGATAAGCGTTTCAATATCTTCAGTTTGATTTTTGGTTGAACTGTAGCTTCAAGGACTTGCATTATTATTTCTGCATAAGTCATGACATGGGTAATCTCACTGAATTTTGTTTTGCTCGCTTATATTTCGTTATTAAACTGAAACTATGTTGTACGGCACAAATCTGTGAGCTCTTTGAAACATGGCCATTAGGGTTTTTGCGTGTTCGAGAGTTGTTCGTTGCTTCTGAAAAGATAATATGGAAGAAGTTTGTTTTGATTAAGGTGATTGAAACTATGATATCAAAGGATAACTTTTTCCATTATTGTTTACTTTTGTAAGCCTTTGATTTTGCCAAAGAATTGTATTAGCGAATGAATAGATTATTCATTTGGGTTAGTCAGATGCTTCAATATGATATTGAGTTCTTTAGACAAGTTGTAAGTCCCTGGTGTTTACACTGTCAATTCACAAGGAGTGTTTGGTTTGTGGGACTGTGGTTTAACATAGAACCGATGAAGAATGGATCCCTTGAATCTCATTCACTACTGATCTCGTTTTGTGATTTGCATTTCTTTAATGAGTTTGGTAGCTATTTACCAAAATTTTCCATTATTATCTGGTAAACAACTCTGTATGTAGCTTTTCTACAGTTACTACCAGTCCCAAGCCCATAAAATATAGGAGTGTTTGACATGGGGTCAGCAACTTCATATCGTAGAAAAAAGTCTTGTTAAAAAACCCCAACCAGATTAAACAAATTAAACCATTTAAATTCTGTTCTGGTAGTTGAAAGAAGAATTATGACGCCTCTTGATGAAAGCCGAAATTCTTCGGAAGTCACGAGGACGATGCCTCTTCTAACAACCAGAGCAACAATTTCTATATGTTCATGGAACGTCCGGGCAATGTGAGAGACGGGGAGGACCAGTCAAATAGCTACCGAAATGAAGAGATACAACTTTTAAATGCTCAGATTCGGTGAAACCCATTGGACCCAAGCTGGACAGCAAAGGCTAGATAGGGGGAAATGCTGCTGTACTCCGGTCACGAAGTGGAAAATACTTCACACACTTAGGGAGTTGCTCTGATTCTGTCCTAAGAACCACGAGGATCGGAATCAAGACTGCTTACTCTACCCTCTTTCTCTTTGTTTTGATGGTTGACTAGATTGTGAAAACATCCACATCTGAGGGGAAGCACGGAATACTATGGACAGCTTGCATGCAACTAGACGATTTGGAATTTGCAGATCACCTGGCTCTTCTATCCCACGCACATCAACAAATGCAGATCAATACAACCAGTGTAGCAACAGCCTGTGCAGCAGTGGGCCTCAACATACATAAGAGAAAAACCAAGATCCTCAAATACAACACGGAGAACACCAACACACTTGATGAAGAAACTCTGGACGAGGTGGAAACTCTCACGTACCTGGACAGCATCATCGATGAACAAAGAGGATCTGATGCAGACGTAACGGTGAGGATTGGCAAAGTAAGGGCGGTATTACTACAGTTGAAGAACATATGTAACTCGAAACAACTGTCAACCAACATCAAAGTGAGAATCTTCAATACGAACGCCAAGACAGTTCTACTGTATGAAAATGAGACTTTGGGAAGTACAACAACCATCATCAAAAAAGTATAGGTATTTCTAAGCAATTGTGTTCGCAAGATACTCAATATAGTTTGGCCGGATACAATTAGCAGCAGCCTACTTTGGTAGAGTTTTGATCAGTTTCCTTTTGGAGGTGGGAATTCGGAGAACACCCAGTTTCCCATCAGCGAGATGTTATATCATCAAATACTTTCCAAATCCGTACAACTACATTTTAGTTCATGTATAGTTTTTCCTCAGAATTGAATGAGTTTTACGTTTTTTGTCATCTTCATGCACATTGATTTTTTTACATTCATATTACCATAAACATCTATTTTTATATATTTCTCTTCAAATCCACGTATGCAATTTACTGCTTGTTTATCATTATTCACTTTGATCTAAGGTATTATACTAGCTATTCTAGAAAAAACTGAAGTTCTGCCCGCTTTGCCGAGTACGAACGCCGGTACAGTTGCAGCAGGCATACAGAATTTCTTGATATGCTTAGAAATGTTAGTCGCCTCATTTGCTTTACGCTTCGCTTTTCCCTCACAACTATATACTGATGGAGTCGGAACTGGACCAGCAAATAGTGGCTATGATAGTCTTGGTGGAGTCGGTGGTGAAGTTTCTCTTGAATCCAAGAAGCGTAAGTTAATTGTGTAGTGAAGTCTTGAGGTTATTGTAGTTGTAGGTCGAATGATTGTTCTTTAAAATGATCAAGCTAATAAAACTACTAATATATAAAAAATTCATGACTTGCGAAGTTAGCCTAATCGAGAATGAGGTAGTTGCCAACAGATAGTGTATCACAGCTCGTTGAATTTTAAAATATGGACTATCGAGTGTCGACTTAGTGGTTTAATGATATTGTTTTCGGAGCATGAACTGAAGGCCCCAAGCCCGGTCTCAGGCGTGGCTATCGTTGCACCCTGCTGTGGAGTCCCACACTAGAACGAGACAGTTGTTCATTAATTGAATATTTTTTAAATAGTAGTCGGTGGTTGGTTATCTGAGATTTAAATATTGTCGGTGTACTTCAAATAGTGAGTACTCAGTATATTGTTCCGTATTTTTCTTTCCTATATTCTATACTGTTAAGTCTCGTACTCCAACCTAGTGTTCTCGGACGCCTTACTTAGCTGATTCTCAAATTAAAACATTGTTAGTTTCGCTACTTGATTATCGCAGGATACGGTATACCTTTACAGCACTCGAACGTATAGAAACCCCACAGTCGTAAATCAGAAGACTGGAAAAGTGCTTGTTGGATAAGAATCAAAATGTACAGTAAATCACGGATGTTTATAGATATTAGCGTTTGTTATATCAACATTATAATTCAACCAATCCTCAAAGAGGCATATTATATTGCTATCCAATAATAGCGTGCCACGTTGATATTCCAGAAAGCTCCATCATTTTCCGATTGGATGGACACTCTTCGGCTCCTTTAGGGCCTATGGAGGCTCCTTCGTAGTTCTCGGAAGCCGTCCCAACAAACACAACTTGGACAGAGCGTAAAATCATAATGACCCATTTACAAAATGCCAGTGTATGTATACACTTTACGTAGGAATGTTCGAGAGGCTTCTTAGCTTAGTTGGCTGGAAATGTATCGATCAACGCATTTTAACGTGATTTTGTCTAAAACTTGGGTTGACCAAGTGTCTATCCTTTTGGACGTTATTTCACAAGCTCAGTTCCCCATTGTTATTGTTATTTTTCAACTCTTTTGCTTTTCGTGTTTATTGTTCGTCCTATCATTGAGTTAACGTGAAGTGCGAGAACGTAAACTGGTGAACACTTGTACAATACCCAATATTGTCGTTGAGTGACTGACCTATTTGTGTTTATTTCTGTTGTAGGAAAGTTTTAGCATGAATTAGTGTTATTTGGATTAATACTGATAAGGAGGACGTAACTGACAAGTGTTTCGTTCTGGTTAGAGACTTCTAGACAGTTGTCAACAACGAATTCTCTCAAGTTCGGGTTCAAGACGTCATTTCGTTATGTAATGACCCTTCAAAAAGTGTCAAAATCTTTACCAGCTAATATCAGCTGGTCAACTATTTAAAACTAGGCGGCATTAATTAGCTATTCCACTTTACTTTCCAAGTCCCCAATAGCACTCATCCCAGACCCTAGACCTGATTAGCTGATCCAAATTTCATTATAAAAGTACATGCTAGCTGATTCTCAACAAAATCAAATTAAATATTTATTACAACGGCTTTATTCAGCTGTTGTTGCTGGAATCGTCACAAATCAAAAGTTTTATTTTAAATTTTTCTGTCGTCAGTAACCATCATCGTTATTTCTAATGATTTTCTGGTCAAATTCTTACCATTTTTAGGTGGATTTCTACCGTCTTCTGATTCTCTACGTAGTCTGCGGGATACATTCAATCCTAAAGATATGTTTAATGATGCGATCCATAATTTTCATCCGAATTATCAAAAATACACTCAACAAGTAAGTTCTTCCGGGGTTAGATTTTAGTCTTCATAAAATAACCGCATATTGAATTGTATGTTGATAACGTAGCGTGATTCATGTGTTCAGGACTAAATAGGACTCTAGACACATACTTGTATCTAGGTTGGTATTGGTGTTTGTACTAAAACTCTGATTGTCTTTTATCAGTATTCGTCTCTTTACAAGATGACATCCTTGTAAAAATGCAAGAGAAAAAGGATATAGCTAATCCATTAAACATTCCTAGTAATGTCAACAATCTTCGGAAGAAAAAGGACTCATTTATTTCAAATTGGTAAACTGAAAAGAAGTGGGTTTTTATCATATTACCTAGATGGAGTTCATCACTTCAAAGTCGGTAACGAGCCATTAAAACACATTCAGTGATAAAAAAAGAGGTTTGGTGTGTTTCGTTTGTTCTCTGTAATGCATATCTGAGGACTATGTTAACTGATTTCCTCTGTTTATAAAGGTGTCCTATGGCTGTAATGATATCAACGCTTTTTACTTTTTAAACTGATAATTCTGGAATCGTTCCCGTAATGCTGAATAAATGAGCATCTTTTAAAATCCACGTTGATCTGGGCACTGCCTACAATTGAGATAACAATATAATAAGGTATTTTCCTTACTTTAGATTAGTAGAGTAATGTTTCTAAACACTATACCAAGTGTTATTGCTTTAGCACAGAAACAAGGTCATAGGAGTCGGTGTTCTGACTATCGATTTTGTCACATGACATTTGATAGAAGCAGAAGTCATAACAATTGCAGACAGAGACTTTTGGAGTTAAAAAGCAAAGAAAAGAAAATAATAGTAGCTGTGAAAAGAAAAACGATTGGCACTCTATTCCGAACAATTGCAGTCACTATTACGGCAGTATATGTTTGCTTCTCGACAGTTTTAGTAAGACTCTGTTCAACCAGATATTCCAGAAACATAAAAGTTTAGAATAATATCTCAGTCCAGTCCCAGGATTTATTTTTAATGCAGATAATGGTCGTACTTTTGAAGCATAGTTTGGCTGGATAGAAGATATTTTTCGAGTAGAATTTTCTGTTACGGACGACTCAAAGAAATTCCAGTTGTTGTTACTGAAACTTGGTCCAAATGAGCATAAAAAGTATAGAAATCATAACCTGCCTGAACATCCACGAGAAGTCAATTTCGATGAGTGTTGACATTTTAAATAAAATGTTTTGTGAACATATATCATGATTTCCTAGCCTGTATAATTGTTTGTAGTTGACACGGTAGAGTAAATTTACAAGCAGAACGAATTAAATTAAATGTATTATCCGGTGATCAGTTTGAATTCTTATTACTCATCTTCAATAAAAACTCTGCTATCGATGCTCACTTTCTCATGCGGTTGTTATCCCGTATGCAACATGACGATGTAATGACGCTGCAAACTGACACTGTAGAGTGTCAGCGATTAGTAAACTTAAACCAGGATACAGCTATGCTGAATATGTTGATATGTTGACGGCAAAATAGTAGCAAGAGTAGTCAATATCTGATAAGTCACGGCTACTTGAACACAAGAGAAACGGTGCTAAATGTAGAAAGAGTGCTTTACTCTAACGTCAGTTTATGTACAGAAAATCCAGGGTATTTACAACATTTCGGATGGCCTTGGGCTTCTGGAACCCTCCTAAACATAGTAGTAGGATGGGTAATTATTATATCTAGAAGGTTGTTCTTGATATACCGCGTATAACGTGAGCACTAGAACGCCAGAACCCTTCCAAGTCGCAATGAGAAGACAGAAGACTAATGAAAGGAATATTATTCCAAACAGTGTCAATTATAGTACAAAATTGTCAGGTATTTATAGTTTTTAGTAAGAACGAAATCATCATTTCAGTCCTCCAATCCGCATACAGGGGATTAGTAGCATTGTCCAATCGGGAAGCTATACGTAGGAATCTTAGAATATTCTTCCAAAAAGTGATTTGATGGAATATCTTCGGCTCCTTCTGAGCCTCCTACAGCTTCCTCGAGTTCACCCGTGGTCCGTCGTCACAGTAATCATCCAGTCAGAAGTGTGACGCGTGACTCTTCGCTTTCTAGATGTTTCCTAGAAACTTCTACTCAATGCTGACAGGATCAAATGTTTCCCAGCGTTTTCAGGGCTCCTTTTGGATTTTTTCGAGGGATTTTTTGGGTCTCCTACGATATTACTCGAATATTTCCAAACATTCAGCTAAATGTTCGTATTGTGATACGTGGTTGTTATTATTCTCTCTTACGGTTATAACCCAGCTATCCTATTGCATAGTATTCTCGGACACCAATTCACTCGACATGTCACTAAATCAGAACACGATTGAACAGGAAAGAGATTATATTCCAAGCAACAAGGTTAGATGGAAGTAAGAAGTACAATAAGAAAAACGTTAGTATATTTGTAGTTTTTACACGAAAAGATTCTAGTGTTCTCCAAGCATCGACTAGCGCTGATTGAATAGAAATCAGCCAATCGGCGTGCACCAAAGCAATCGTGCATTGAGCATGCTTTAATCCAATCTATGTCCCACTAACAGTGGTATTCCTCAAAAATTAGCCGGTTTGGAAATTATAGATGCACCATGTAGTATAAAGTCGGTCACAAAGAAACAGTTTGCCGAACTAGAGAAAGTCCGAAATTCAAGCTGACGTAGCGTTTCCGCCAGTATCAAAATAAGTTTATAGACAGTATATATGCTCCAATGGCATTAAGTATAGCAGATAAAAGAAGGTATGTGGAATTATCGGTTAACAGTGTTCATATTCGATTACATTTGGATATAGCATCAGACATCACCTTAATCTTTAAAGGGACATGGAGTTTAATTGGCTGTCCATAAGTTATTTCAACTGAGCACACAGCTCGAAATGCATCTGGAGATATATTATAGCTTGTTGGAATAGTAAAATGCTCTGTTAAATTCTGAAATATCTACTTTACAGAAAATTGTTATTTAACGAACAGATATAATTTAGACCTTATTGGTATAGATTGGATAGACAAACTAAATCTATGGGATGTACCATTGAGCGAAATATGTAAGATGAAAAGCTCAAATAGCCTTAAAGATCTGCCCGTTGTTCATGTAACTAGGAAAGCCATAACGATAGAAGACCTTTTTTGGAAACATACAAGCTTGTTCCAGAATAAGTTAGGATGCTCCACAATTCGAAAGGCAAAATTATACGACAAGATGTAAAACCTGTTTTTCGTCCAAAACGTCAAGTTCCATATGCAGCTATTGACGAAATTGACGAAGAATTCGACCGGCTAGAGAAGCTCGGTGTCATACAATCTATTAATTACTCGACACGGGCAGCACCAATTATAGTAGTTCAAAAAGCGAACAGAACTACTTGTCTTTGTGCAGATTTTTCAACAGGATTAAACGATGCTCTATCAAATCATTCATACCCATAACCTTTGCCAGATGATTTATTATTATTATTGTTTTTCTAAACTTGATTTATCTGAAGCCCACTTACAAGTGAAAGTTGACACATATTCAAAGTAGTTTCTAACGATTAATACTCACCGTGAACTCTATTACTGTTCGGGTTAAAACAGCACCAGCAATTTTCCAGCAAATAGTGGATACCATGATATTTAATCTAAAAGGTGTGACAGTTTATTTGGATGACATTATAGTTGTTGATTCTATTATTCCGAAACTAATGAGTCTGTTGGACATTGTGCTTACTAAAATACCGCAAGCTAGGTTTCAGTTACAAAAAGGAAATTGTGAATTCTTGTTCGAGTCTCCTAGGTACCTTGGATATATATTTGATAAAGATGGTCGTCAGTCAGATCCCGACAATATCAATGCTATCAAAATCATGCCCAGGCCGACAAATGTTACAACGCTAAGTTTAATCTGATGGGCGATTTTGCCACGTGGGGGTGGCAGAAGTCATAACATGACACACATGAATTATGCTGCTACATCTTACTAAGCAAAGCTCGATGTTTTGATCTAACCAATCAAGTGAATAATACAATGAAAAAATTGAAAACAGTTAATTGATTTTATTTAAACTATTGATAACGTTTTCACATATTACATTACCGTTATTATTGTACTATTTTAGCGTAACCTCAGTGATTTCGATGATGAAACAATCGATTCTTATCAAGGTAATACATTTAATGGTAATACTGATCTAACTAATATTCAATCAACAGTACCAGCTCCACCAATACCACCACCACTAAGACCATAATCCAATTAAATGATCTACTTTCACTAATTGCTTTGATATTAAAGAAGCCGGATAATCTGTTTTGTTTTTGTTTCTCGTGGTTTTCTTTTTTTATATTTTCTTTAGTGTTAGAAATTGTTTCCATGTGTTTATTTATCATGTATATCTATCTATGTGCGTGTGTGTTATTTATACTTGTGCTTTTACTTTATGTTCATATCAAATGATCTTGTTGTTATTCCTATTTAATTCTCTATAGATTTATTTTATCATTTATGATTACATGATAGATGATGACCCAAGCATTATAGATTTTTCTCTTTTCATTTTTTGTAATCATTACTTTCGCAAATCACTTAATATACACTATGTCGTTTGACTATTATCTTTCCTATTTATCTCTCTAACGTTGTTTATTTATTATTGTCTAGTCTAAACAAGCACTGCTCATATATTTCATACTACAGATTAATCGAAAGATTGTTATTAGGAAGGAAATTTTACTGTACATAAATTAATATTTACTAGTAAATAGAATAGAATATTTTTCGTATTCATCTAATCTCATTTGACCATTACCTACAGCGAAAGTTATTTTTAGGCATTTTTTGTCATGTTTTTAAAAAAGAACTTGTTACTGCATGCATTTAAACTTCTTCCTCAGAACATACAGTTATTTAATTCTTTCTGATATGGTAGTATGTGAATGATTATTAATTCACCCCTTGACAAGATTCAATTTGTGGATTATTTGAGAATATCGTTTTGTTCGTCTCATATACTGTTCATTTGTTTGTCTTCGTGTGTTTATATCCCCGTGTTTCTACCATAACTGTATGTGCTAGTATGTAACACTGGCAGATATTGTTTTACTAGTAGATTTAATTTTTTGTTGTTTCGTCATCGCTATTAATTTTAATGTTATTCTTCATAATATCAACTGTGTGTATTATATTATTCATTGTCTTCATAATATATAAATTTGAACTAGTCAATCAGAAGTTATATAATGAGTACATGACATGTCTCTGGGTGTTCTGTCACAAAACTGTAATTTAATGCCTTAGATTTTAAACATAAGTCATTTGTATAGCTGAATTATTTGCTGAAAATTTCTTACTGATACCAAATAATTAATAAATTATTCGATTTCTCACCAGTCATGGATTTTAACTTATCTTTCTGTATATTTTTCGCGCCCAAATGCCCTGGTACGTCAGAGTGGAGAGAGTCAGCGCTCCCTCTCGAAATGCTCTAACATGAACACGTGCATACAACCACTGCCAGGGAAGTCCTACTCACTGCCTTCTCACGGCATTACTGTTGTTTACGAAATCGAGAGAACGAAAAGCGAATGTCCGGCGCTTTAACCGTGTTGGTGGATGTGGAGGGTCCAACTAGGAGAGTTGTAAAACCCCGATTCCAAACCAATGGTGCACATGGGCTCCAGGATCCTGAAGGAACAAATGGCGTATTAACTAATTGTTGGTCACCGATTATCATGTGACTGAATCACCTGACGTTGCTCCACTGCCTTGTGGATCAAACCTTTAGGTCATAGGCTCCGGGTGTGACCCCCTAAGAAAACCACCTGCTTATGTCTGGGCGTTCGGGCAGTACCACAGCCCTCGCACAAATCAATGATAACTGTTATTGGCGTCATTGTTATTGTGTGGCGCATGTATATTTGGTGCCCGCTTGTACCAATGTTTATGTGTTTAAATAAATAAATAATGTTTTACGATTACGAAGTTGGACCCAACTGTTTAGCTTTTGGGTAGCACTATTGTTAACATCTTAATATCTACGGTGTAAATCTGTCAAGATTAGTGTTAGCCTGTACTTTTTCAGTGATGAATGATTTCTTACGTCATATTATTATATTTTTTAAAACTTGTTCATTAGTATCTTAAGTAATCTTCAAGCACAATATTGTCAATTTGTAGGCTTATTTTTTTGTTCTACGCATCTAGCTAAAACTAATATCAAGCAAGCTTTTCGCCTGTAGTGTCCTATACTGGTCTTACTTGTTTAGATAATTAATACTCTGTTGGGATGTTGAGACGTTTTGAATGGGGATATTTGTATGCTTACGACGTAATTTTCATCATAGAAACCATGTTGCACTGAAGAACCTGGATAAACGTTCACTAGAACTTTCGTTTTTCACAAGCACCTCTGTGCCCGTCGATCAGCGCCAACTTAGTATACTCGAGAGATAATTACTTTTCGCTGTAAATCGGAAGAATCATTTTTGACACTAGTCACTAGTGATCGCACGATAACTTCTTTATTAATCTGGCTCTGTGGGGATTGTTTATTCAGGTGGTTTTCACTACAAACTGATAAATATCAGTTATTATTATGCGTAGTTTTTCATTTATATTTCATATATTCTGGTCGCATGTTTATTTATCCTGTTTTTGATGTATGATAAAGCAATAGATGTCGAATTAATTTTTAATATGAAGTAAAGATGTTACAACGAACGACGAGTGAATAATTTACAACAATACTGGAGGTGTTAAAAATATAAATAAAAGAATAAATAAGTTAGATTCATAGTAAGTGTTGTGATCGTTAAGAGAAAACAATCGATGAAAACCATTCTTTCTAAGTTGTTGATATACATTTTCTGAATAATTAATTATTATTTAAAATGATGACAGTATTATTCGTCATTGCATAAAGATAATTTTCAACAGAATTGTTTAATTATTAATTGATTCCTACCTTTCTTTGTTTAAATTACACACTCAAAGTGGTTGATCATTTGAAGAGAAATACTTCAGCTTCACTCGATTCCGAATGGTAATCCTTATTATCTTGGTGGACTGTTTGGTGGCGTTTCAGTTAATCCAATGTTTTGACTTGGTATTTTCAACTCAACAGTCCCCATCTATATTAAAAACTTCGTTTCTAAATACCTCAAATGCTGATTTATAAAATTCATTCAAAATCCTTAGAATTCCTAAACTCAACTATTGGTTACGTAGAATACTTATTTCCTGAGTTTCAATTTTGATTTAGTTTTAGTGTTTCTGCGTATCCAATCAGCTTGATTTCACAATATCTTGAGAAAATTGCTAATAATTTCCGTAGCTACTGACAAATGGTCAAAGTAGACAGTTCTTATGACGAAAATATTTGAACGCAGATTTACCTTTCAGCAAAACACCTATTTCTACGACTAGGTCCAAATTTATAGTTATTAGGAAAAGTTAATTTTAGGGTAAACGGACTTTAAATAACTGAACTTACGAAATAATAGTTTTTTGTACATATTGAGATGGTTAGTGAAAAATGAAAAGATTAAGACTTTGGTTGCATGAGATAATATTGTCTACCTGGTAATTATGAATAAGGTGAACAAGACGAAAAACAAATAAATAAATATTGTGATATGAAATAACTAATAGTTATGGAATATTAGAAAGGAAAAATAATTTTTGACCAATAAGCGTAAGAAGGACAAAGGCGGCTAGTACTATGAAAGAGTGACAGATTAGGCGTATTGGTTTAGTATGCAGAACTTAAAAATGAGTCGATCAATTAATATATCAACTTTGGTGTGTGTCTTCTTAGTTTTCACTCGCTTTAAGACAGTTCGCTTTACTGCATTGATCAATTAAAAAGAATTGTGATGTGAATAGTATTTATGATCTTCCTTAAAAGTGAACCATTACTGCTTTTGAGAGACAAGTTCAGTCATACTCGGAGATACGCTTCCATGGATCTCACTTTATGCTACTGATTTTGCGTGTTTTTACGGAACCAGGTAAACTCTTTCTACTTTCAATATCTAGTAGTCATTTGTTACTAATTCTTATTTTTTTAAGTTGTTAATCAGCTATAATTACAATGTTCAATTTTTCATTGGAATTCGTTGAAATCATGAATCGACCACCACTGAAAACCTGCCATCAGTGGGTTGTCGTTCCGTATTAGTATAGGAATCCTCAGTAGTGTGCATGCAGAACTGTGCAACCGTTTCATTGGTCTAGAGGTTAGGCGTCCGAGACCAAAGTTCCTGTCTCGATTCCCAGTTGCGGAGCCTTTGATGCACACTACTGATGGTTCCTATATAAGGAAGAAACGGCCATCCAGTACCTTCAGGTTTTCAATGGTGATCTAATTTACATTGGTTCATGAATTCACTGAAATTCAACAATATCCACAATCATACGGAAAAGTCACTATTTCACTTATTCTCGTTCATCATGTAATTATCAGGTAACTAGTACTATTTTACCTATAAATCGCTAGCCATTAGATCATTACTTGACCCTTTAATATTTTGTATTCTGAGCTAGCGATTCCACTGTATTTTCAAACAGAATACATGCTAAATAACTACAAATATAATCATACTGTTTCTTTGGAAGTTATCACTGAAAAGATTTCCTCTGATTAGTATATAAATAATGAAATTAAACGATGCCGGATCGTGAAGACGTATGAAAGAAGTACAATGTCATTCCTTTATCTTACTTACGCCGCCCAACAATTTTCTCCAACCAACTCTGTCCTGGAAAATCCTTGACAGTTGTTTACAACTGCTATTCATTCTCTTAAAGTCTGCTTCCAATTACCGACACAATGTGTTCCTTGGACTTTTTTCTTAACTATTCAGAATTCCATGTTAGGGCTTGCCTCGTGATGCAGTTTGTTCGTTTTTTCATTGCATGTCCTATCCACTTCCAACATCTTTTCTTACTTTCCTCTTCAGCTAGAAGCCATTTTGTTCTCTCACACAGTACGTTGTTGCTAATGGTATCCGGAAAATGAACATTGATTATCTTGTGTAGTCAATTGTTTGTAAATAGTTGTACTTTTTTGATGATGGTTGTGGTGCGATGTATACTACTTATGTTGACAGGTATATGTAGTATGCAGAACCAGTCGGAAGTAGAATGCATGAGTGAAGAAGATTGAGAAGATTCAGTTAAAGAAACGATGGAGGGAAACAAAAAGTAATTGTAATCAAAACGGAATTGGAAGATTCATGAATCATGTAAAGGCCAACTGGTGGAAGATGTGCAAATTACGTAATGTATGTTATGTATGGTTTTCATAAATTGGGAAAGCACTATCATGCTGTCCAAGTACGAAAACTTTCCACCACTTCCAGAACTACACGACGTGTAATTCTCTGGGACGACATTTATAAAATATGTCCAGTTAGGCTAAGAATGAATCATTATTCCTTTGTCTTTCACAATTAAACATTTTTATATATACATCTACAAATAAGATCATGGATAATTTTCACCTATTAACCATTGAATTTTGGATAATTGTTCTTTTAAATATAACCTGTTGTTTTTATCTTTTCTATTGTCACATTTTATTACGCTTGTTTAAAATGAAAGTTTTAAAGGTGTAATTCAATTATAAAATGATTCAGTAAAGAAGTGTTAGTTTATTTGATTTTTGCTTCAATGCTCATAGTTTATATTTTTATTCCTTCATTACTTATCTGATTTTTCTAATTTTCTTTTTCTCTTTTCTTTTTTTTAAGTCGCATTAATCAACTGACTGTTGTTTTTAATTTTATAATAAAATTTACCTATTCAATTAGTTTATCATCTTCAGTGAAAAAAAAACAGAAAAAAAACTGATAATTATTTAGTTTGTATGAATAATCTGACAGAAGTCGGGCGCCGAGTATAGAGAAGTCATTATATATGAAAATTATATTTGACTTAATCTCAGCGATTAAAATTTAAATAATTCCAACGTTTCGTCCAGCTAACTTGTCTGGACTTCTTCAGGGTAGAATAATCAAAATCATCAAGCAAACATATAACGTTTTAACAATCAAATCAGGGCACAGTCATGCTGTTACGCCATGGTTTTTCGCGCACACGTGACATATTGTCGAGGATTTTGGGATGTCGTTATTTATCAAGTATAAACAGTTTTTTCCGTCTCGCGTTTATTTTCGTAATGTTTGTGCTTGTTACATGACATTTATTGCAGTTTATTAGTAGTTTGACATATTTGTTGCTGGCAACCTGTGTGAATGTTTAGTAAGCTTTATGTGGTTATTTGTAACATTACTAATTCAGGCTAGTGAAATTCACCGTTTATCAAGTCAAAAATAGACCGTAATCAGAGTTTTATAGGAAAGTGAGCTTTAAGAACTTTTATGT